GATCAAAATTTTGAGGCTGATGACGCTATGATCGGCTCCAGGAAGAGGCACAAGTTTCTTGACATCCCGAATTCGTCTCCCATCATCTGCTATCACGACATCTAAAGTAAAGAAAGTAGGAAAGCAGGAAAACGATTGAAAACATGTAAACCGTTAAGAATCATAAAATCTTTAAGCATCAATGAAGGTCTGTGATACAAAGCGTATACGGGGGATCGAATTCTTCCACGTGATTTTACAATTTAGATCGCCCAAGAGAATGTTGCAATCATATTCGTGAAAATGAAGGGCTAATAGGTTAAAAATAGACTCTGTGGCTGAAAATGCAATATAATTTGAGTCAAGGATTGAAATAAAGCTTTTTTTCAAATCAAAACGAGAACAAACGGCTTTTTTAGAAGTGAAAAGTGGTTTTCAAATCAATTCTCAAGAATTATATCAGAAAGTAATATAAGAATATTACAAGAAGTATTACATCAGAAACAGTACGAAGCACTTGATGTTGATGAAGCACAAATTTTTGTTAACATAAAAAGGCAAATTGCTTGTTTTAAGAATGAAAATGAGAAGAGGATATTGGAATTTGAGTCAAGAATTGAAATAAAGCTTTTTTTCAAATCAAAACAAGAACAAACGGGTTGTTAAGAAGTAGAAAGTGATTTTCAAATCAATTCTCAAGAAGTATTATATCAGAAACAGTAGTAGATACAGGTACAATATTATATCAGAAACAGTAGTAGATACAGGTACAACATTATATCAGAAACAGTAGTAAATCAGAATCAGAAGCACTTGATGCAGCAAGAATTTGATTTTTCTTTTAAACAAACAGCTGATTTAAACAAAAAGCCAATGTTAAAAACTGTGTTAGCAAGGAAAAGGAATGGAATTTTGAAACAGCTTTCAAGTTGCTCAAGCTTTGGTACAATGGAAATTAATATATAAAGTAAATTGAGGAATTTTCAGCCTCTTCCATCCGAATCGCCACTCAGCACAGCCAAGCCCGCCAAAAGTCCCATATTTGGCGTCACCCGAGGACTTGACGAGTCCAGAATCGTTGAACAACAATCAAAGGCGGGAATTCGACCCGGATTTGTACGAGGATCGGTGAGTGAATATATCTATTTATTTTTCAAGTCTCACTAATTGATTTGTTGATCGGGAAAGAGGCTCAAAATTTAAATGAACGATCGACAAGTATCATGAATGAGGGAAATGGCAGTTGATATAAAATAGTATGGAAAACTGTCGTTAGATGAAAGTTTTAAATCTTTTATTTCCTTAGACTTGAAACTAACTGTTTCACTTTAAGGAATCTTTGACCTAAATCTTGAACGAATTATTGAAAAACGAATCTCTCATCGAATCAAAAACGAGTTTCAAGTTGATTGGTATTAAAATGGGGGAAGAGCTTTCAATTATTCGGCTCTATAAGGATCAAACATTCCATTCCATCTTTCAATTGGGTCAAAATTTTCAGTTTTAACTTTAACCTAAAGATGTGATTTGAAAAGCATCGTAGTCCTTTTTGTATAATATTATTTGCTTTAAAAAAAATTGAATAATTAGGCAACTAGCTTAGTAATTACTTTTTAAATCTTTAAGTAAAGTCATTAAAGTTGCGTTTCACTTTAATGCGTTTTGAGTATTGTTTCAAAGAGAGGCTGGGAAATAGGAGGATCAATTTTTCGCTTTCCATCAAAAAATCATTCACTACTTTTTTTTGAGATTTTTGGATTTAATTCTCTGATAGACTTTATTAAATTTGGAAGATTTTAATGAAATTTCAAATTTCAAACTTTAGATACAATGATCCATTCGAAATCGAGCCTCGAGTGCATCAACGAGCGCCGAATCGGCAATCCTTTGAAGAACCGTATCCGGAAGACTTTGACGATGAAGAAAAGGAAGAGGAACATGAGAGAACGCCGATGTTGAGAAGTTGGAGAGGGGACAAAATAAAAGAAAATCGTATTTCAGTTTTAAAAATAGCAGCTTGAAAACGTCAGAGTTCATTATCGTGAATTCATGAAGGGATTTTTAAAACGGATATTATTTAATAACATTTAATCTTCTTCTAATTGTTAAATTAGCAGCTTTCAAATGGGAGATGTTTAACTTCTCGCCTGTTTAATTTAAACCTAGCCTCCTGCTAAGGCTTTAATTTGAAGCAAGCTGAATAAACTTGAATCCAATTTGAATCCAGTCTTTTTCTAGATGAGTACCGTGACGCGATCTCCGCGTCGCCCGAGTTGGAAAGCTCGTCGATATCCGAGTCACATCCACGGCTATTTTCATCGCAAAAATCGTAGAACAATTTTATTATTATTTCCACGCATTTAAACGGTCTAGATTCGTTTTTGGTTAAACTTTTTAATAAGACAATTTGTTAATAGATCATTAAAGAAAAAGTAACAATAACATTTAGAACTCTAGGAGTGAAAACTCGATTCGTAGTTCTGTTATTTTTTGTAAGCCATCTTAGCCCAGAGCCCAGCCAGAATTCCGGCTCAAACCTAGTAATCCAATCAGGTTCCAGGGTCTATTAACTAGACCAAAAGTCAATCCAGGCCAGGCATCTGATCAGCTCAGAAAATCTTGTGAGACATCTAGAGTACAGCAGATCCGGTGCTTGGCAACAAAAATTAACTTCCAACATTCTGGAAAGTTGAGAACTTTGATTAACGTCAGAAATCTTGAAACTTTGTTTTTTTGTTTGTCTTTTTGAAGTCATTGATCAATTTATTGTTAGAAATACGCTTTTAAGCTATTTTAAAAGCTTCTTCTTTAAAAATTGTGTAAGTTTTTCAATTTTGGGCTCAATTTTCATCAATTACTTTATAATTTTTGTATTTTTTCACTTTTCCAACTCGATTTCCCTTTCACTGTACCGGTGCTTTCCTCTGTGCTTTTTTTGACTTTATTCTTTTAAAATATTCTCCGCTTCCGATATTTCTTGTGATCAGAAAGGAATTCCAATTTTTCATAATCATCTAGCTATCAAATTTTTTTAGGAATCAAATTTACATGTTTTAATTTCATAAAACTTTTTATTAACAACACTTTCACAACAATTTTATACAATTAACAATGGAAAAATCAACGCTTTGCCTGGAGTGAATTGAAAGAAATTGAAATTGAAATTTTACTTTATACTTTGAAAAGTTGGAATAAAATCTCTAACTTGATCAATTCAAAAAGAAAAATTCCAACAATACGAAATCATTGTCAAACGAAAAACGTGATTTTAATAGTGAAATTTTGAAACATTAAAATTTGAAAGCAGGTCGAACTTTTAAAAGTACTTCAATGATTTTTAAAACTCTCCTTAACACATTTACACGACGATTTGATCGACCGAATCGATCGTACCAATGACGATATTTTTTGGTGTCAACCTTTAAGCACTTTTGTTATTTATTTTGCAGAAAGTTCTCGATAAAAGACTCAGATGGGCTGGCCACGTAGCCAGAAGAACAGACGACAGATGGACGATACGGATCACAGAGTGGCTACCACGAGACCAGAAGAGGCCCATCAGAAGACCAGCAACGAGGTGGAGCACAAGAGTGGCAGAGACGGTCAGAGAAAGGATGGCTAGAGTGCAACCACCACCAGCACGAGCAAGTCGAAGACTTCGAACTAGGAACAATCAAGATAGGAAACACTGGATGACAATAGCAAGGGATAGAGAAATGTGGAAACAGTGAAACAGCTAACGAAATGTACGCCCAAAATACTGGCTTTGTTAAAAATGGCTTTCTATCATTCATTAGCTTTATTCTGAACATAAACCTCTGAAATTGCGAATATATAAATACTTTATTCAGAAAGAAATAAAGTGCGAAAACGACATGAAAAATGTACTAGATGAAAGATCACAAAGTCACTTAAAATGCAACGAAATAGCCCTTTTAAAATCAGACACGGTGGAGATCAAACGCAACTTGTCGGGAAGGGCATTCCAAACTTTAGTCACACGATTTACGAAAAAAAGCTCTAGAGGATTTAGAGAAAGCAGATTCGGGATGCAAGATAAAAAGAGCCACGCCTAGTCGCCAAAAGCCTCGAGTTTAGTCGAGAAAGATTTTTAAAAGAGGGTTTTGATGTTTTCCTTTTACAATTTTAAAGCACTCAACCAAATCTATGATAAGACGGCGTTGTTCTAAGGTTTCAAGTGAGAAAAGTTTCAATCTATGTTTATACCTGACGGATGAGTAGTTAGCAAAATCAATTTTGAATAGTGCTATTCGAGTAAAGTTTTTCTGAACTTTTTCAATTTTGTCGATTAGGGATTTAGAAATAGGTGACCAAATTAAAGAAGCATACTCGAGGATCGGGCGAACGTAGATAATAAAGCATTTCCTATATATATATATCAATATCTGGTATGCAAATAGATCTAAGAATTTTGCCCGCACAAAAGGACGCCTTCTTACATATTTTTTTCTATGTGTGTAGAGAAATTTAGAGGAGGTGATACAGTACTGGACAATGAAATATCATATTTGGAAAACGATTGCCACTTTCGCGCGTCTGTAACTCCCTTGTCTTTGAGTTTAAACTATTAGTGTTATACATTTTCTGAAAGCTCTTTTCAAGGGCTACACAATGGTAATATTAATATTTAGAAATACGATAAAGACAAGGGAGTTACAGACGCAAAGACGATCTTTTTCAAATATGATATTTCGTTGTCCAGTAGTGTATGTAGACTCCTAAATCGCCAAGAGATTCATTGTTAGCTATGGACTTTATTGCGGCATCACCAATGTAAGGGGGGACTTTTATTTTACCTGCACTAAAATGAATAGATTTTGAGTGAGAAAGTTTTAAACCCCAAATATTGGACCAAATTTCAACTGTGCTCAGATCTTTTTTTGGATTTTATGAAAGGAGCTACCCAGATTTTTATTTATATCATTTAATGGAGTCTCAAAAATTAGCTTAGCATCGTCGGCATAGAGCCATATCTTGGAGAAAGGTGAGGCTAGATTTAGATGAGGTAAAACGTTGATGTAAATCGTAAAAAGTAGAGGTCCTAAAATGCTTCCTTGGGGCACACCGCTAGTGCAGGCATAGGAATCAGACATGCAATTATTTACCGAGACTTTAAAAGAGCGATTTGTGAGCCAGGATGTGATACATTTTATAACATTCGGACAAATTTTATACTTCTTAAGCTTATGAATCAGAAAAGAGTGAGGGATAGTATCAAAGGCTTTAGCATAGTCGAGAAAAATAGCATCAAGTTGCATTTTGTGCTTATTCTCTATAGCCCGGACAAAATCTCTATAAGATCAACTGGTCAACTGTGGATTTGTTTTCCAAAAAGCCGAATTGTTGTTCGGATAAAAGATTGTTCATGTTTAGATGACTGATTATTTTATTATGAAGATGCAACTTGATGCTATTTTTCTCGACTATGCTAAAGCCTTTGATACTGTCCCTCACTCTTTTCTGATTCATAAGCTTAAGAAGTATAAAATTTGTCCGATTATAATCTCAAAAAGTTTGGATAGGGGTGAGGTCAAGCCAATGGGTCGGTAGTTTGAGAAATGATTTTTAGGGGAAGATTTTGATAATGGTATAACGAAAGATTCTTTCCATTTGAGAGGGATTTCTCCATCGATGAAAATTCTGTTAAACATTTTGCAAATGTGATAACCTAGAATTCTGGAAAGACCCTTAACGAAAAACGGGGATATACCATCGGGGCTAACACTCCTTTTAGGTTTTAGTTTCCTAAAGGCGTTTTCAATGTCTAAGAGTGTTATGAGGGAGCTTGGTTGGTCTGGGAAGCTTTTAGTAATAACTAGATTTGGTGGGTTTACGGCAAATGGGACATTTTCAAAGGTTGAATGAAAGAATTGAGCAAAAGATCACAAATTTCCTTTGGTTCAGTTATAAGTTCATTTAGTTTATTTTGGGTTTACAAAAGCTTTGGGCAAGTTTTTTATGTTCTTTAGACTTGGAATTTATATAACTGAAAAATGCTTAGAATTTTGTGATCTAATGGCGCGTCTTTCAATATTTTGCTCGAATTTCTTGCAAAAGCGGGATAGTTTTACTTGCGCATTACTTACTGAAGGGTCATCTAAAGGATTCCCAAAAGAAGATGAGTTGAGGGAAACCGTTAGCCTAAGTTTAGCCCTAGCGATGTGTGAAGGACATCTATTGAAGTTATGAGGACAACTTTGCTCAATAGATTTTAAGAAGAGATTTGTGAAAATGTCATAATCCGTGTTTAGATCATTATTGGTGTCATAAATAGATGTAGAATTTAGTATTGGATAAAAAGCTAACGCCGCCTTATCGAGATTTGCACAAAAATGAAAACACCTGGGCTTCTTGTTGATAGGGGCGGGCTGGTTGATCAAAATTTTGAGGCTGATGACGCTATGATCGGCTCCAGGAAGAGGCACAAGTTTCTTGACATCCCGAATTCGTCTCCCATCATCTGCTATCACGACATCTAAAGTAAAGAAAGTAGGAAAGCAGGAAAACGATTGAAAACATGTAAACCGTTAAGAATCATAAAATCTTTAAGCATCAATGAAGGTCTGTGATACAAAGCGTATACGGGGATCGAATTCTTCCACGTGATTTTACAATTTAGATCGCCCAAGAGAATGTTGCAATCATATTCGTGAAAATGAAGGGCTAATAGGTTAAAAATAGACTCTGTGGCTGAAAATGCAATATAATTTGAGTCAAGGATTGAAATAAAGCTTTTTTTTCAAATCAAAACGAGAACAAACGGCTTTTTTAGAAGTGAAAAGTGGTTTTCAAATCAATTCTCAAGAATTATATCAGAAAGTAATATAAGAATATTACAAGAAGTATTACATCAGAAACAGTACGAAGCACTTGATGTTGATGAAGCACAAATTTTTGTTAACATAAAAAGGCAAATTGCTTGTTTTAAGAATGAAAATGAGAAGAGGATATTGGAATTTGAGTCAAGAATTGAAATAAAGCTTTTTTTTCAAATCAAAACAAGAACAAACGGGTTGTTAAGAAGTAGAAAGTGATTTTCAAATCAATTCTCAAGAAGTATTATATCAGAAACAGTAGTAGATACAGGTACAATATTATATCAGAAACAGTAGTAGATACAGGTACAACATTATATCAGAAACAGTAGTAAATCAGAATCAGAAGCACTTGATGCAGCAAGAATTTGATTTTTCTTTTAAACAAACAGCTGATTTAAACAAAAAGCCAATGTTAAAAACTGTGTTAGCAAGGAAAAGGAATGGAATTTTGAAACAGCTTTCAAGTTGCTCAAGCTTTGGTACAATGGAAATTAATATATAAAGTAAATTGAGGAATTTTTCAGCCTCTTCCATCCGAATCGCCACTCAGCACAGCCAAGCCCGCCAAAAGTCCCATATTTGGCGTCACCCGAGGACTTGACGAGTCCAGAATCGTTGAACAACAATCAAAGGCGGGAATTCGACCCGGATTTGTACGAGGATCGGTGAGTGAATATATCTATTTATTTTTCAAGTCTCACTAATTGATTTGTTGATCGGGAAAGAGGCTCAAAATTTAAATGAACGATCGACAAGTATCATGAATGAGGGAAATGGCAGTTGATATAAAATAGTATGGAAAACTGTCGTTAGATGAAAGTTTTAAATCTTTTATTTCCTTAGACTTGAAACTAACTGTTTCACTTTAAGGAATCTTTGACCTAAATCTTGAACGAATTATTGAAAAACGAATCTCTCATCGAATCAAAAACGAGTTTCAAGTTGATTGGTATTAAAATGGGGGAAGAGCTTTCAATTATTCGGCTCTATAAGGATCAAACATTCCATTCCATCTTTCAATTGGGTCAAAATTTTCAGTTTTAACTTTAACCTAAAGATGTGATTTGAAAAGCATCGTAGTCCTTTTTGTATAATATTATTTGCTTTAAAAAAATTGAATAATTAGGCAACTAGCTTAGTAATTACTTTTTAAATCTTTAAGTAAAGTCATTAAAGTTGCGTTTCACTTTAATGCGTTTTGAGTATTGTTTCAAAGAGAGGCTGGGAAATAGGAGGATCAATTTTTCGCTTTCCATCAAAAATCATTCACTACTTTTTTTTGAGATTTTTGGATTTAATTCTCTGATAGACTTTATTAAATTTGGAAGATTTTAATGAAATTTCAAATTTCAAACTTTAGATACAATGATCCATTCGAAATCGAGCCTCGAGTGCATCAACGAGCGCCGAATCGGCAATCCTTTGAAGAACCGTATCCGGAAGACTTTGACGATGAAGAAAAGGAAGAGGAACATGAGAGAACGCCGATGTTGAGAAGTTGGAGAGGGGGACAAAATAAAAGAAAATCGTATTTCAGTTTTAAAAATAGCAGCTTGAAAACGTCAGAGTTCATTATCGTGAATTCATGAAGGGATTTTTAAAACGGATATTATTTAATAACATTTAATCTTCTTCTAATTGTTAAATTAGCAGCTTTCAAATGGGAGATGTTTAACTTCTCGCCTGTTTAATTTAAACCTAGCCTCCTGCTAAGGCTTTAATTTGAAGCAAGCTGAATAAACTTGAATCCAATTTGAATCCAGTCTTTTTCTAGATGAGTACCGTGACGCGATCTCCGCGTCGCCCGAGTTGGAAAGCTCGTCGATATCCGAGTCACATCCACGGCTATTTTCATCGCAAAAATCGTAGAACAATTTTATTATTATTTCCACGCATTTAAACGGTCTAGATTCGTTTTTGGTTAAACTTTTTAATAAGACAATTTGTTAATAGATCATTAAAGAAAAAGTAACAATAACATTTAGAACTCTAGGAGTGAAAACTCGATTCGTAGTTCTGTTATTTTTGTAAGCCATCTTAGCCCAGAGCCCAGCCAGAATTCCGGCTCAAACCTAGTAATCCAATCAGGTTCCAGGGTCTATTAACTAGACCAAAAGTCAATCCAGGCCAGGCATCTGATCAGCTCAGAAAATCTTGTGAGACATCTAGAGTACAGCAGATCCGGTGCTTGGCAACAAAAATTAACTTCCAACATCAAGAATTGAAATAAAGCTTTTTTTCAAATCAAAACAAGAACAAACGGGTTGTTAAGAAGTAGAAAGTGATTTTCAAATCAATTCTCAAGAAGTATTATATCAGAAACAGTAGTAGATACAGGTACAATATTATATCAGAAACAGTAGTAGATACAGGTACAACATTATATCAGAAACAGTAGTAAATCAGAATCAGAAGCACTTGATGCAGCAAGAATTTGATTTTTCTTTTAAACAAACAGCTGATTTAAACAAAAAGCCAATGTTAAAAACTGTGTTAGCAAGGAAAAGGAATGGAATTTTGAAACAGCTTTCAAGTTGCTCAAGCTTTGGTACAATGGAAATTAATATATAAAGTAAATTGAGGACTTTTCAGCCTCTGCCATCCGAATCGCCACTCAGCACAGCCAAGCCCGCCAAAAGTCCCATATTTGGCGTCACCCGAGGACTTGACGAGTCCAGAATCGTTGAACAACAATCAAAGGCGGGAATTCGACCCGGATTTGTACGAGGATCGGTGAGTGAATATATCTATTTATTTTTCAAGTCTCACTAATTGATTTGTTGATCGGGAAAGAGGCTCAAAATTTAAATGAACGATCGACAAGTATCCCCCATTATTGGGTATGGGGAAAATGGCAGTTGATATGAAATCATTTTAATGCAAAAAAAAACAAAATCAAAGTGTTTCAAAAATTTCAAAATTGTCAACATTTTAGAATTGGTATCAGCCGATCCACGGAGATCTTCAGCAAAAATTGCAGAAAGTTTTGAGGATGCAGAGCAAAATGATTGGAAGAAAATTGAGGAAGATGTGAAGGATGGATTCGTGGAAAAAGTGCGCTTAAAAGGCTAAAACTAAGATGTACTTTTGCTCTTTTCAAACATCTTGTAAACATCCTGTAAACACTCACTTTCTGGCTTAGGGAATTCTTCCATTTTCTCGTTGCTATGAGGGGGAAATGAAAGGGGTACTTATTGATTATAGCTGATCAAGATAATCAGCCAAAGAAGGGCACTTTTGAGAAGAATACTCGAGACTTTAAATGTATAAAGTTCAAATTCTAAAATTTATACATTTTTAGTTTATGCACAACTTGTGCGGGGTGGGACGGTGGAAAACGTGGAAGTGATCAAGACGAAAACCGGTCTACTCGTCAATCATTTGCTGTCGAACGCGAGCCGAGCCTGGGGGTATATTACATGTTTATTCTCCCTCCCCTGTTGCTTCCACAGGCCCCACACGGATACCGGAAAGAAGGCGATCATTGAGAACTCGAATGTTGCGTGTGCATTGCGGGACCCAGCGGTGGGGTGAAAATTTTGCTTGCTAAGAAATCAATCAAATCCTCTTCTTTAGGGGCAATATTTCGGCGGGCTGCGGGGTTTGGTAAATGTAGGAGATTGGTAAGTAAGCAAGATTGATTTATTTTATTTTTTTCTTTACATTATTTCAATATTAGGTTTGGTTTGTGGCCTAAAAGGAAACTTTGTGGGTGGTCCCGTGCCTTTCTCATTTCCATCCATTCCCCACCCCGCATTCCCTTTTCACACAACAACCTATAGTCACACAGTCAAAGCATAGTCGTATTCGGGTGACTTTCTAAGCACAAACATATGTATCTATGTTACTTCCGGATCTTATTCGGACGTCAGGATCTGATCCGGACGTCCGAGTCCGGTCATTGATGATCTTGTGGTTGATTTCAAATGTCCGAGATAAATCCTCCATACTTAAGATAAATCCTAATTAACCAACTTTTAATGCTAATTGGCCAAAGTTATCACTAACTATCATTGAAACTATGAGAGTTATCCAGTCTACATGTTTCTCTCCAAGTCTCCCCCGTGTCTCCTTGCCGTCATTCTCCCAACTTATTCCCCTTTCTTCTAAACATTTCCCTTCTAAATCCCATTGTTTCCGCACCATTTCACGGCCAACAAACACCCTTTCCGCCTCTTTTTTTGCTAATCGCGATTCCTTTTTTCTTTTCAAGGAAACTTTGAGGAGAAAAGTGTGAAATCGATGGAAAACAGTAAAGAATCGAGAAGGAGAAAAACCGGATTTCTTGAAAAAGCGAATAAATTCACGTTGTCGGTTTTCTCGAAAGCAATATTGGAGAATAAGGACCGTTTTGTGACCATGAAAGATTCGCCTAGAAATTCGCAAATGCTGTTCAACTTTTGCATAGAAACAGTCGATCCTTGGCTTCACGATAAGCAAAGAATTTTTGCGTATTTAAAAATATAGGACCATAGCAATGGGAAAAAGTTACGGTATCGACCTCGAACGCTTTTTGCCACGTGGACAGGTAGTTGTCCGAATTAGAGTCAAGAAAAAGAAGAAGTTAATCAATTTTGGGAGGCGGAAAGTTGACGAGTTGACGAGGTCGGAGGAGATTTGAGGCAAAGGAAATGCTCAAATTTCTGGATCGAACATTTAGAAAACGCATCAGGCTAAGGGTTTATTGAGTGCAAGGTTTAAGACCATTCGTAAAACAGATTTCCAGGCAAATCATGTCACATTGCATTGACTTCTTGGCTTTATTACTTAAATGAGAGTGAGAATCTCAGAAGACTCAGAGTTATGAGGGAGAAAGTGCTGGAAGTTTTTATAAAGAAAACCGAGAAAATAAATGAAATTTTGGAATTCACCGTACTGGAAAAGCTCTAAACATGTAACACTTGGCTGGGCCTAGAGCTTATATGCGAATTTCGAGGGATACTGCAACCGACCCTGGTTGCAGTCTGGGATGAAATAACTGTTTAAGCATGCGCCACCATCGTGAGGAACTTCCCAAAGCGTTTAAAGAGGTGTATCGAAGCGGATGGTGGAAATTTCGACCATTTGTTATAAGCTATTTGTTGTTATGATTCGAATAAAGAATTTGTTATTAATTTTTATAAGTTATAAGTTGGGAGAATGACGGCAATGAGACACGGGGGAGACTTGGAGGGAAACATGTAGACTGGATAACTCTCATAGTTTCAATGATAGTTAGTGATAACTTTGGCCAATTAGCATTAAAAGTTGGTTAATTAGGATTTATCTTAAGTATGGTCGGATTCGGACATTTGAAATCGACCACAAGATAATCAATGACCGGATTCGGACGTCCGGATCAGATCCTGACGTCCGAATAAGATCCGGAAGTAACATAGATACATATGTTTGTGCTTAGAAAGTCACCCGAATACGACTATGCTTTGACTGTGTGACTATAGGTTGTTGTGTGAAAAGGGAATGCGGGGTGGGGAATGGATGGAAATGAGAAAGGCACGGGACCACCCACAAAGTTTTCTCTTAGGCCAGAAAGGGGAATAAGTTGGGAGAATGACGGCAATGAGACATGGCGGAGACTTGGAGAGAAACATGTAGACTGGAGCTCTGATGGTTTCAATGATAGTTAGCTAGACAAGACCTGTAGGGCCAGGAGCAACTGGCCGGGGAAGTGGATCGGATTTCAAACTAACACAGAAAAATCCGGTCTACGATCTAGGGCTTTCTCTTCGTGGCGTGCTCGACTCTGGGTCAGAAGCCAGGTCTCTGACTACTTACCTGATCTTACAGCGGTAGCGTATCGTTCTGCAAAGCTATACTGCTATGGCCGTTAGAGAACTAAGGTTTAAAAGGTTTGGTCAAAGCCCTATAGATAGCCTGTAGACTTGGTGGCTTCTGAGAAAGATGGTTAAATCTTACTCATGATGGTTTACGAGGAAGCGCAGTCTCCTGCAATTTGCCGTAACCAAAAAGTTATAATCTTAATAGAAACACTGCTTATCCGCTTACAATTTTCCGTTCTCGAAAAAGAGTGATTCGTTTTGTGAATGAGAGTCGAAAAGTACAGAGAATTACTGATTCCGCTTTCCCTCTAACCTACCGTATCCTCAAAGAAAACAATATTTGTGTAATGAGAAGAAAAGGAAGTTAAAGAAGTGAAAATTCCCCTCAATAAACCCTTCATTTTCGAGAAAAGAGGAAAAGATGGGTATTCTATTTGGAAAATAAGGGGAAAGAAAGTTGAAACAATATTAGATATTCACTTCAGAGAATGAGAAGGAGAACATTCGAGGAAAGAGGTGACAAATTGAAATTTCTCTTCTTCCTTTCTTCTTCTTTTCTTCTTCCTTTGTTCTTCCTTTAAAACAATCATTGTGTTGTGTAACAGATGGTCGAAAAGTGAAGAAAAGAAGACAATTAACATTTATGGAGGTGAATTGTGGAATTGTGGTGGGTGGCCTAAAAGGAAACTTTGTGGGTGGTCTAAGAGAAAACGTTGTGGAAAAGGAAACATTGTGGGTGGCCCCGTGCCTTTCTCATTTCCATCCATTCCCCACCCCGCATTCCCTTTTCACAAAACAACCTATAGTCACACAGTCAAAGCATAGTCGTATTCGGGTGACTTTCTAAGCACAAACATATGTATCTATGTTACGTTCGGATCTTATTCGGACGTCAGGATCTGATCCGGACGTCCGAATCCGGTCATTGATTATCTTGTGGTCGATTTCGAACGTCCGAGTCCGACCATACTTAAGATAAATCCTAATTAACCAACTTTTAATGCTAATTGGCCAAACTTATGAAACATAATTATTGAAAGGGGTATTTCCTGAAAATTCCCCTCAATAAACCCTGCATTATCGAGAAAAGACGAAAAGGTGGGTATTCTATTTAGAAAATAAGGGGAAAGGAAGGGGGAACTAATTAAAGAAAAGAGAAAAGGAAAGGAGAAGTTGAAACAATATTAGATATTCAGTTCAGAGAATGAGAAGGAGAAAATAGAAGGAAAGAGGTCACAAATTGAAATTTCTCTTTTTCTTTTCTTCTTCCTTCCTTCTTCCTTTCTTCTTCCTTTCTTCTTCTTTTCTTCTTCTTTTTTTCTTCCTTTCTTCTTCCTGTCTTCCTCATTTCTTCTTCCTTTAAAACAATCATTGGGTTGTGTAACAGATGGTCGAAAAGTGAAGAAAAGAAGACAATTAACATTTATGGAAGTGAAATGGTTTCTGAAAAATGAAATGAGCACATAGAATTGATGGATATTGATGATTTTAGGAACATCTTTGCATCTTGTGTTAAATATATGTTTTTAAGAGCCCAGAGTACAGAATTTTCGGATTTGTGTTGAACAAAGATAAGATAAATCAATAGAATCTTCAAGTTTAAGACTCATAAAGTGTTTAATCATTTTTGAATGAGTTGACTAATGAAAGCAATCGAGATTGCTATCAAATATCATTTTTATTAAGTAGCTTTTCTGAAGATTGCGATTCTAAAAGCCGGTAAAAATACAGTACCAAAGTTTGAAATCCCGATGGCACTGTAGAGAGGAAAATAATTTATGAAGTACAGGCTACAAATGTACCCTAAAGTCGCGAGTATAAGTTCTGTTTGGTTTTCGCATGCAAATTGACGGCTGTCTCCGGTGCGATGTGTCGAGGGTTCGAACCCCGCTGCAGCATAACTTTTTTGCTTTTTAAGAACAATAGAAGTAAATTTATTGAGGGTTATAGCAATTTTATCCTGTTATTTGTTGCTCCGGGCGTGGCTCGGCGCGTCCGCCCTGCTCCTCTCCAGTGCTCAGTCTTATGGATCCCTCCCTGGCCTCTTCATCCGGCCAAAGTCCACGTCGACGGCCGAAAGAGATGCTTTCCAGCGTCTTCTTCAACACTATCGTCTGGATGTATCCATGCACATAACAAATAGCAATGGTGATAGGCTGTCACCCTGTAGTATCCCGCGCTCCAAGAACAATAATAAAAGTTTATATAACAATAAAAATGTATCAAAACCCAACAAAAAGAAATTCAAAGCAATTAAAGCGAATGCAAATTAAGGCAGAACTTATACTCGAGACTTTAGGGTAATCAAAACCATTTTATTCTGATTAATTTCTATTTTAATAATTGTAAGTCTTTATTTTGGAGTGAGTACAATGGCACAAATGCAGATGAAAAAAAAAGCCTATGCAAAACCTTTAAAAAAATTGAGATCAAAAAATAAAGGTAAAACAAGTTTGCAAGACACAGAATGAATGCAAGAATGAATGTTAGAAATCACAAAATTTGGAGTCAAAAACTCTTTTACACTCGATACGAATTCTTTGCGCGTTCCTTTTTGAAGAGTGCGGCAAGGATGATGACAACGATGAGAGCAGCAACAGTGTCAAAGCGACAAACATCCAGAAGAGGAGACCTGAAAATAGAGAAACTAGACATAAGTAGGTTACTGTATAGCATTGGTGGCATTGAATTTTTATATGTATACCGTAAACAAGCCACAAAAGTCCAGCAATCCGTTTCTATTTTGCACTAATTTTTACCAGAATGTATACTGTAGCTAGGTTAGCGAAAAAGGAGACAGAGCATTGAAAATAGCGGCATTTTAATCGACTACAGTAGTTTGGACACTTAAACACTGGACTTAAAAGCTTAATCCTACTCAAAACAGTAGGATTAGGTACTTAGAAGCTCTAAACCATAAAACCCACACCAATTTCCTTGTGTCCCACGTATTGAGGAATTAAATTCTTAGAATCGAAAGTAAAAGACTGTTATAGAATCCCTCTTTTATTAAAAACAACTTTTAAAGTCCTAAATAATTATCACACAATACCGTAAACCTCACCATATTTTGGTCCTCACCTTAGCCGCATTTGAGCACACGTTGGAGAGCTTTTCAAGTCGGTACTCGTCACAACACGAGATGAAGACAGCCTAGAAATAATAATCTTATAACCAATAAGAATTACAGAAATCTGTAGCTTTTTAGGCCATTAAATCGGTATCCATGAAATTTCTATAATTATCTAAAAAAACAAACCAATGGGCACTCATCCGTTTCGCATTTCCGCACTTGACTCGATACATCGAGCACATCATGGCTTCGCGACGACATACGATAGTAGGCCTAAAAAAGTGCATATCTAGAGCTGGAACTTGATCAGTTTTTTCTTACGAGTGAACTTATAGACTTACTAATACTAATACTAATAATATTTAGTTTATTCAATCATTGCCCTTAGTTTTAAGCCCAAAACTCCCACTTTCACATACGGTGCTCCGTTTCGGTCCCACAACTCGATGATGATCCTGCTCGTGTATTCCGGCAAACGATTGCTAAAGGAAAACCTTGAAAAACTTAAGCCATAACAATTTTTAAAAGAACTAGTTAGGTAACAAATGTTCTAGGCTGGCAATAAGACAAATAGCTTGAAAATTTCCCCACTTTAACGCCGACAATATCCCCAGTGACTCGGCCAACGGAAGAACAACGGAATCGTGCTAAAAATTGTGCCAAATTAATACATTTTTTTCGTATCTAGATACAATTTGAAACCCTTACCGTGCTGTAGGCGTGGAACTTCTGGAAATGAGCACAATGATCGCCCTCTTTACTGGTATTCGTGTGGCATCTGAAAGAAGTCAAATGAGAAAGGAAGTTTAAACATGTAATATACCTCCAGGCTCGGCTCGACTAAGAAAAAGAGCTGGATCCAGTCCATCAAGTGAGAAAAAAACCGCTTTCATGATAAAATAAGTGAGTTTCAAAGAAAACCGCCTAAAACCCATTCCTTAGAATTATAATATTTCAAAAAAAAAAAATGAATTATTGATTCAATGTAATTTGATTAAGAATGTAACAAATTAAAAAAAATTATTGAAAGCTCTGTTCAAAAAAAACGAGTTTCAAGTTGATTGGTATTAAAATGGGGGAAGAGCTTTCAATTATTCGGCTCTATAAGGATCAAACATTCCATTCCATCTTTCAATTCGGTCAAAAATTTAGTTTTAACTTTAACCTAGAGATGTAATTTGAAAAGCATCGTAGTTCTTTTTGTATAATATTATTTGCTTTTAAAAAAATTGAATAATTAGGCAACTAGCTTAGTAATTACTTTTTAAATCTTTAAGTAAAGTCATTAAAGTTGCGTTTCACTTTAATGCGTTTTGAGTATTGTTTCAAAGAGAGGCTTTGAAATAGGAGGATCAATTCTTTGAAGAACCGTATCCGGAAGACTTTGACGATGAAGAAAAGGAAGAGGAACATCAGAGAACGCCGATGTTGAGAAGTTGGAGAGAGGAGAAAAACGAAAAAGAAAATCGTATTTCAGTTTTAAAAATAGCAGCTTGAAAACGTCAGAGTTCATTATCGTGAATTCATGAAGGGATTTTTAAAACGGATATTATTTAATAACATTTAATCTTCTTCTAATTGTTAAATTAGCAGCTTTCAAATGGGAGATGTTTAACTTCTCGCCTGTTTAATTTAAACCTAGCCTCCTGCTAAGGCTTTAATTTGAAGCAAGCTGAATAAACTTGAATCCAATTTGAATCCAGTCTTTTTCTAGATGAGTACCGTGACGCGATCTCCGCGTCGCCCGAGTTGGAAAGCTCGTCGATATCCGAGTCACATCCACGGCTATTTTCATCGCAAAAATCGTAGAACAATTTTATTATTATTTTCACGCATTTATACGGTCTAGATCCGTTTTTGGTTAAACTTTTTAATAAGACAATTTGTTAATAGATCATTGAAGAAAAAGTAACAATAACATTTAGAACTCTAGGAGTGAAAACTCGATTCGTAGTTCTGTTATTTTTGTAAGCCATGTTAGCCCAGAGCCCAGCCAGAATTCGGGCTCAAGCCTAGTAATCCAATCAGGTTCCAGGGTCTATTAACTAGACCAAAGTCAACCCAGGCATCTGATCAACTCAGAAAATCTTGTGGGACATCTAGAGTATAGCAGATCAGGTGCTTGGCAACAAAAATTAACTTGCAACAATCCTCGGTTCCAACAATCCTTGATTAAAAGTTGAGAACTTTGATTAACGTCAGAAATCTTGAAACTTTGTTTTTTTTGTTTGTCTTTTTGAAGTCATTGATCAATTTATTGTTAGAAATACGCTTTTAAGCTATTTTAAAAGCTTCTTCTTTAAAAATTGTGTAAGTTTTTCAATTTTGGGCTCAATTTTCATCAATTACTTTATAATTTTTGTATTTTTTTCACTTTTCCAACTCGATTTCCCTTTCACTGTACCGGTGCTTTCCTCTGTGCTTTTTTTGACTTTATTCTTTTAAAATATTCTCCGCTTCCGATATTTCTTGTGATCAGAAAGGAATTCCAATTTTTCATAATCATCTAGCTATCAAATTTTTTAGGAATCAAATTTACATGTTTTAATTTTTTTTAAACTTTTTATTAACAACACTTTCACAACAATTTTATACAATTAGCAATTGAAAAATCAACGTTTTGCCTTGAGTGAATTGAAAGAAATTGAATTGAATTGAAAAAGTGAACAAATTGAAATTTTACTTTATGCTTTGAAAAGTTCGAATAAAATCTCTAACTTGATCAATTCAAAAAAAAAAAATTCCAACAATATGAAATCATTGTCAAATGAAAAACATGATTTTAATACCAAAATTTTGAAACATTAAAATTTCAAAGCGGGTCGAATTTTTAAAATGATTAATTTGTGAAAGAAAATGTTAAACAATTAAAAACGAATTACTCAGTTACACAAGTTCCACTTTGAAACTCGTTTTTCACTTTCTGTTTCCCGACGACTATTTGTATCAAAATTTGTAGAAATTTGGATTTTTCTTTAAAAAAAGAATAGCTTTGCTTGAACTCATTCCCCATAAAAGACCAATAGTTCTAAAAATAGCCAGTTCTAAAACATTTCGACCACAAAAAAATTCCTATGATTCGCCTTTTACGACCAATAACTGAGGCTATTTCCTTATTAGGTTCGAAAATCAAATTTCTCAAAAACTTAAATTCTCAAGTCTCAAAATATGATTAAGCATTTAATGTTATCATAAAATCAGCTTGATTTTTTTACTTTTCGGGTCAAGAGTTCAGAATTCGAAAGTCGAAAGGACGCAAACTATAAAAAAAGAGAGATTTGGGGAGAAACATAGAGAAAAGCGGGCAAGCGATAGATCGTTTTTGGGTTCTTTTCCAATATCGGGGGAGCGGAAGGATTATCGGGGGAGCGAAAGGAAAATCGGGGGAGCAAATTTTGGCAGCGCTACATATGTCCTATTTAAAATTGTGACGAACGGGAGCTTGCTTTGTTGCAAAAGTTATCGACTCGAATTCCTCTTGAATGCTTGGGGACCTTTCGCCGTGCGCAAGTGTCACATACCTAGCGAAATAGATCTTTTCCCTTTGAGCGGACCTTCATCGATTCGCCACATTTGCAAATCCACGACTGGATGACTCCTTTGGTGACGAAATAATCGATTGTCGTCGATTTCTTGACGCACAAATATCGCAGAAGCGCATCGTCGTTAAAGTTTTAAAAAAACGTTGCAGTTAAAATACAGTCCCGGAAATGCATTTTTCGAGGGGGCAAAATTTGCTCCCCCGATTTTCCTTTCGCTCCCCCGATAATCTTTCCGCTCCCCCGATATTGGAAAAGTACCCGTTTTTGAAGCAAACAAACAAACAAAAATAAACATTTTTAGTTCATCGACATTACTGGCATGATTGGCTGATTTAGATAAATTAACTTGGTGATTAAGTTGAAAAATACAAAATTTTCATCGTGTTCCCTAGTTCTTCATTGATTTCTAAAAGAAAAAACGATTTGAAAAGTAGAGTTTCAAATTGTTTGAAGTCGAATTTTACTGGATAAGCTCTAGTTCGGTCTGCGGTTTCTCGTGCTTTATACTCTCGTAAACACCCCATTTCTGGCGCACTCAATTCTTAATTAATTCTCACAGCAATGATTTGACTGTCACGAGGGATTAAAGAATTGAATGTGCCAGAAAGGGAGTGTTTAAGGGATTCGGAGTGCATAAAGTACATTCAAAAGAAGTACCAAGAGCTTTCTCAAAAATTCATGTTTCAAATTAAATGACGTCAAAGTATGGAGTGATTGAATAATGGCACTCCATGATGATCACTTCTAAAATAATAAGCATAAAGTCATCTCCTGAATCATTGCAACAAAGTTTTACCTTTCTATTGGCTCGTAATGTACTTACCTTGGTGAACTTTGTAACTTTGTAACACTTTGTAAATGCTCCCCATCTGGCGCACCACTGAGAATTTGAGGCCGATGTTAGTGATAATTCAGTGCGCCAGAAACGAGGGTTTTTAAGGGATTTTGGAGAGCACAAAGTAAATTCAGCAAAGCAGGAATTCAAGGATTCAAGCATTCAGTAAAAAGAACTATTTCTCTAGCTTTCTACTATTATTTAATTGAATAATTTGAAACAAGACTTTTCAGATCTTTAGAAAGACATTTTTCTCTTATCTTCTTTCTCTTAGCTTGCACTCAGAACAAGTTAGAGCTAAATTTCTGCAACTAAGGTTTCCCATTGAAGTTTGTGAAACTAATTTTTACATATGACTGTCAAAATGACTATTAGAGAAGCTAAAGAATCAAAAATCCAGAGAAAAGATCACTTGCTTACAGAAAATGAAGGCAAAAAATGAGAAACCAATTTTTCAATCAGAGAAATTAGAGAAAAATAGGGAAAAGAGTTTAAACATTCAAAATTCTGGGCGTAAAAATAATTGGCAGGGTGGAGAAAGAGAAAAAAACGGGAAGATTTGGGTAAAAGGGGGGAGGGGGAGTTTTTGTGGAGATAAGAGGTCGCTGTGCCTGGCCGAAGGAAAATTTTTGCCTTAAAAAAATCAGTCTTTTCTTCTCATCAAAAATTGAAAAGGAAATTTGAAAAATCATGCATTTTCGTCATTTTGATGTGCTTCTTGTTTAGAGTTTTCTTTTTTTTTTTGTTAAACTTTTTGTTAAAAAATAGTCACCAAACACGTTGCAAGCAAGCAAGACTCTAGAGTCTGAATGAACAGGCTCAGAGTCGCTACGTCGCTAGAGAGCTAGAGAATGAACAGGCTGAGAGTCGCTACGTCGCTGAAGCCTTTTAACAGCTAAAGCAATAGCTCAAATTCCTGTGCTACGCGCTCCCGCATCTCAGGATTAAAGCAGCCTCTCCACAATTGTTTGAAAGATTCTTGCCTTAAAGCCCTTTTAATTTGAAACATAAACTTTTCATTTTCAATTTACAAAAGGAAAATATCGAAAATATCGATTTTAATAACGATTTTAATAGACGATTTTTCTCTAGTGGCCAATATTATCAAGAGAATGAGATAATATTTCAAAAAGCGGCTATAATCAGCGATTAAAATAGCTACAGTATGTAGATTTATAGCACAATCTGTGACAAAGATTTTTTTTTTTTTTGAAACAGAACTTTTGTTTAACGCAGAAAATTCGCTCAATTGTTTTGAATTTTGAAGCCTGATTTATACTGATTTATGGGTATAACTAGCATGGAAGAAGGCGCATTTTTGTGATTTGTGTCATGACTAAACATACAATTGATTGTTTGATTGATTCGATCTTTTTCTTCTCCGCTTCTCCGCAGTTTTTGACACACAATTGATTGTTTGATTGATTCTATCCTTTTCTTCCTTCAAACACATCTACTTTTCCCGAATTTTGCCAAATTGAAATTGAAATTGAAATTGAAATTTAGAAAATTCCTTTCCAGAATCAGTGCCCACTTTGGTAAAGCAGTGACTGCTAAATCATAAAGAATTGCCGATAGAATTTACAGGGTGATCAAGAATTACTGAATTACAAGAATTACAACACATAAAAGGCCTCGCTTTTAACATCATTTTTTCTACCAATTTTCAATAATTTTCCCCGCCTTGTTTAAAGCTTTTTTTGCGTTAATTTTAAACAATACTCCTTGCCAACGATTATCACCAACCTCTTTGCTTTTAGATACTTAAAATTGAAACTCAAACTTTTTTTTTTAAAAAACCAAAAAATATCTAAAATCATATTTTATATAGATATTTTTTAGATGTTTAGATATCTGGGCTTGTCCCTAATTTAAATAGGGACAAGTCCAGATATCTAAAATGATTCAAGTTTGTTTGTTCACCATTTTCTCACATTCTCTAATCAAATTTTGAAACAGAAATTTTTCAACAAAAAACGGACATGCTTTTCGTCGCTTTCTGCTTTTTATTCATTCAGCAAAATCGATTTCATTGAGCAAAAGCAAAAGCAAAGCTTTTTATTCAATTTCTCCTTTCTTTGCATAATAACAAAACTTCGAAAATAGCTAAGTTGAGAAGAAAACTTTTGCGCGATTCAAAAAACTGCTTTTAAATTTTTTAGCGTTTCAAAGTGCTTTCCTTCGAATCGCGATCGGCATTTCTAATTTTGTTTTTTTCTACACTCTTTCCTTTCCTTTTGCCTTTCTTCCTTCAGCTACCTATTTTTCAGAATCCAAAGATTTCTTCCACAATGAGATCCCAAATCAAAATGTTATTTTCTGCCTCAAACGTTCATCCATCAATGCACACGTGTAAGTTTGGAGAACATCAATTGAGTTTACTGCTATCAATTAACACGCTAATCACATTAACAAACGTAAATTCGATATATTCGACATAAAAAAAATGGATAAATTTTCTTAAAATTTTGATTTTATATTAGAGATTTATTCTAGTAATTATTTATTATTTCAATCTTATTTCAATATCGTTTTCCTTTATGAGGGTTCAATTCAGAATGCGCTCATTCAATATCGTTTTCCTTTCAACTATAAATTTCTTTTTCCTCATTATTTCAATGACGAGAAAAATTTCTAGTTGAAAAGAAAACGATATTTCATGAGCGCATTCTGAATTGAACCCTCATAAAGTTGAAAAATCAAATTTTTAAAAATCAACTCTTATACATCATTTTAGTTTAGCTTACAATTAGAAATAAAATTTTAAAAAAGGAAAAGGAAAAGGATGTCTGCGATTGAGAATTAAAACTAAAACCAAACCTTTTAGCTTTACTTTAAAAGTTTTGAAACATCAACTTTTGAGCGGTGGCTTTTTCGCTTTTTCTTTAAGTTTAAACAGTTTCAAAAAAACTGATTTAACATTTTGAAAGAATGAACTTTTTTACCGGCAACTATTGTCCTTTTCAGCTTACATCATGAGCCAATCCCGCTCGCTCGCTTACAATTAGAAATCAAATTTAAAAAAAGGAAAAGGACTGCTCAAAACATCAAAACTAAAATCAAAGCATCAAAACTAACACAAAATTGCGCCAAAACTAAAATCAAAGCTTTTAGCTTTACTTTAAAATTTTTGAAACATCAACTTTTGAGCTTCCTCTTTAAGTTTAAACGGTTTCAAAAAAATTGATTTACCATCAAAAATAGATGTGCTTTTGAAAAAAAAGAACTTTTGCCGTCAATTATTGTCCTTTTAAGCTTACATCATGAGCCAATCCCGCTCGCCACTTCCCTCGCCAAAAGTGAGCAGCGCGCGGAAAGTCTCAACGATTTCTTCGCCCGCTTGCACTCCGTTTGGCAACAATCCACAGTGAGTTGGGGAGATTTCACGAAATTTGTCGTTTCTATGCATGCTTCTTATAAAAGACATTCAAAACTACCGTAATCCACGTGCCAATTTTCATTCGATCAACTTCAATTTTGATTTTTGATATCATTGCCTTGTGATTCCCAAAATTGAGCTGATCAAATGAAAAATGGTAACCGGATTACCGTAATTTTGTTTGGTTTTGTCTAAAATGGATTAAACGACAGACATTAAAAAGATATTATTAGAATCTTATCCCAATTTTCAGATTGGAACTCCTCCTATTGTCAATGTTGAGGGGATACGAGTGTCCATGTGAAGAAAAAGTTCGCCTTTGCGCGGAAATCTCCGAATTGAACGATTTTCAGAAGCTCGACTTGATCAAATTTCTTCGGGAAATCGTGAGTTTCAAAGAAAGCTTGGTGCTTTGTGAAATTGAGCATTGAATCTTATGAAATCTTATGAATGATCGATTAAAATCAATCCAACAATTTCCATTCGGATTACCGGTACAAACTAAGCCTCGAATCAGACTCGATTTCAGTTTTTATCTTCTTAATTTGAAATCTGAAAAACTTTGTTTCAAAAAATTTAACTATTGAATTCTAGAAGGATTGCGAAATCCTTCTAGAATTGGCGCTAGCTTTCTGAATATAGTTTTGCCTCAACTTGAAACTCTGTTTTTTAAAGCGGCTTTTTTCAGTGATTTGCAATCCACAATTGCCTAACGCTTGGTTTTAAATCAATTTCAAAATCCATTATACTTCTATTTTGATTTCAATTCCCTTATGCACTCCAAGGTCGTTTGAACTCGAAAACCTTTGAACCGGCTCTCAAAATTGCTTTTTGATCGTAAAAATTCACTGTTCCGATCTTTATGAGTCGTAAAATTTGCCCAAAAAGCATTCCATTTGACACCAGGCTACAGATTTTTCAAATTTGATAAATAAGATGAGTAATTTGGGTCAAAATGGGTAATTTGTTTGTTTTGAAGGGAAAAAGTCAATGGTTGGCAAGTAAAAGTTTCAAAATTTTTCAGATTAATAGCTTAAATGTGAAGTTAATTCGGTTCGTGGGTGTCCAAAAGTTTCAAGTCTTTTTTATTAGAAGACCGGTCTTCTGTTTCGTGGTACCAAAAAAAAGGAAACCCAACAGAAAACGATTTGTGTTCAAAATTCTCATCTTTATTTTTGTTTTGATGAAAAATGAATTGATATGAATGTTATTTAAATCACAAACCTTACTCTAAATTCAATTTCTAAGTCTTTCTAAGTCTCAATTTCTTGAGAAAGTTCAAAATCTTTAAAAAAATTTCAAATTTTACTTTTAGAATTCAAAAACAATCGAAATTTTTTTTTAATAACCAAAATATTTTCAACTTTATTTGTTAAACACGTTCACGACGATTACGTTAAATATTGTTACATATAATGGATTAAATTTTAAGATTTAAAGACTTAAAGAAGATTAAAGAAGATTAAAGAAGATTAAAGAAGAAAGAAGATTAAAAACCAATACTATATAGAATTCAAGTCATTGCTAAACCCGGAGCAAACTGATCAGGGTTAGATTCAGGGCCTTAGGAGGTCATTAATACATTCGCGACAACCACCAGTGGGCCGTACTAATGACGATTATTTTTCGTGCTTACTCAAATTTTTAAGAACATTTGTTATTTATTTCGCAGAAAGCAGACATTTTTAGTGTTAACTCAAGCTTTTTAAGGACTTATTTCGCAGAAAGTTCTCGGTAACTTTGTATTAGTTTTCAAGAGGAGATTCAGGGCTATCGAATGACTATAATAGTATAGTCTATCTTTGAATCTTCACCAAATTATCATTAAAACATTTATCGACTACGCGACTGTACGCCCAAAATCGTCTTTTTTTTTTTAAAAGCAAAAGCACAATGAGGAAAAGGGTTTCAAAATTAGCAATTTTGCTTGCTAAAATTTGATTCTTAATCTTTCAAGACATTCTGTTTAACTAAGCACAGATTGACTGCGTTTAAAAAGCATTTTTTTTTATAAATGTAACTTTCCAGGCAGCTGTTCCAGCCGTCGAGGACAACGCCTGCAAAATGCTCGTCTGTTCACCATCACAATTTTGTCAGGTTAGAGAATTAATTACAAATCATTTAGGAAAATCATTTAGGAAAATAAAACTACAAAATTCGGATACTTTAAGTAAATTTGGAGCTTTTTTAGTTGAATTTGGTTCAATTTGAATAATTAAGTTTCAAATTTCTTAACTAGAGCGCACGAAAGCAGTGATTAATATTAATTGATTTACGAGTTCATAGATCGATAGCTGTAATTCGTTGTAAGTCTAAAGCTAACAGATGTAAACTCACCGCAAATACTGTAATTGGACCCCATGGAGTACTATTTTTTCCCTCCCCCTCTAGGGTGGCACCATTAGAGGCGGGGCATTATTAGAGGGGTGGGGTCCAATTACAGTATTTACGGTAGGTATACATGCTGTTGGTATACAGGCTGCTAGTCATACAGGCTGTTGGTATACAGGATGTTGGTATACAGTAAAACAAATCAAGCTGGTTGAAGGCTACTGGTTTTGACTTGATTTGGTCAGCTTTTGGTTTTGATTTCTTAGAATAATTCTTAAGAATATTCATTTGTTCAATCGTCATTTTCCTTCAATTGTACTGTATTCTAAGTTGGACGGTTGCAGCATTCTAAAATTCATTTTCGTATTCTTTCATTTTCATTTTCGTCCAATCTGTACATTGAAATTGATTAAATTTTGATAAAATATCGACACCTTGAACACTTTGAAACGCTGAAATTACAGGCATTCGACGATGGGTGTTGCGTACAGAAATTGATTCAACTCTGGGATCGCTTGTACAAAGAAATCATTCCCACGATGGAGGATATCCTTTTCCCGTTGGCGGTTCGTTTGATCAATTAGTTGCTTTGGAAAATAGCTGGGAATTCATAGTTCAGCTTCATATTCTCTCCAATTTTACCTTTCCGACTCAAAAAAAACAAAGCCCCCTTTTCACCATTTACCTTTTTTCAATTACTTATCCATCCGTAATCCATCCGTATCAGGAGACTCACCCGCTGGAGTCGGCCGGATCATTTTTGCAGATCACAAAAATTCTAAACCCAAAAAAGCAAAAAAATGATTGTCAGAAGAACAAAAAATGGCCTCGTGTCCTCCTTATCTATTTTTGAGTTCACCAGGGAAAAAATTGTGTGCGATTTAGGAATTTTTAAAGCTTTGAAAAAGGGGAAAGATGAGAAAATCCATTGTTTATGAAAGAATTGAAAAATAAAAACAGACCTTTTAAGTTAAAAAATCAGGGGATTATTCGATTTCTATCATTTTTCTTTGAGGAAACTGAAAAAGGAGAATGAAGAATATAAACCAGAAATGGTTCAAAAATGTTTAAGATCTTGTGATTTTTGGCGGAAAGCGAAAAGAAAAAATAAAATAAAAAGCAAGTTTCAAAGTTATTTAGATGAAAAAAGAACTCGTAAGCGCTATTCTTGGTGTTTAAAAGTGTTTAAAAGTGTTTAAAATTATCATTTTTAAAACGATAAATGAGAAAAAGTTTATGTTTTAAAGTTAGGAGTAAAAAGAAGTTCAGCAAAAAGTTCTTTTCTTTGCCTTGTCGAAGCTAGTTGCAATGCGTTCGTTAAATTTTAAGTTTCAAACAAAATAAGACTAAAATCTTTTCAACATTTCAAAAATCGAGCTTTATTTTGCTGTCTCACAATTCGGTAGAAGTCGTTTTCCAATGGAAATGCCAAGAATTTGCCAAATTTGCCAACTGAACGGGGGTTTTTAAGGCTTAATTTAAGAGCAATCTCTCATGCAAATAACTCGGAATGATTTCAGGATTGCTTGGAATCTTTCTGCATTCGCTCACTTCTCTTGCAACTCTTCCGTGATCGTGTCTTGCGCAAATGCTTGGAACCGATCGATTACAGGTAAATTACAGTTCGAGCACACTAATCCATTTCCTAAAACGTGCCATTTCCTAAAAGCCATTTCCTAAAACATGTCCACCATTCTACCGTAATTTTGTATCTTTTTTATCCAATCTATTCACTTTTTGTCTGATTTTTTGAGGCTTCACAAAGGATATCGAAAGATAAAAAAAGTGGATAGATTGAGTAAAAATAGAGACAAGACTACGGTATGAAGGGGAAAAAGGAACAGACTTTAGGAAACAGTGGATAGAGAGAATTTCTGAGGATTTGAAACTTTTCAGAATCCGGGAATTGGAGCCAATCCTTTTCACTTTGCTAATGGAAACAGATGGGACAGAAGGCTTCGAAGAGTTCTCGACCCTGGCCCACAAAGTGATGGGCGCTGCGGAGAAAGTCGAGATGGAGGTGAGTAGAGAAGTTTGTTTTTAACAATTTGACACCCAAAGAATGCTTTATTGCTTTAATCAATCAATTTTATAAACAAAAATTCAACTGTAAAGATCTGGATAACTTTGAAACAACAATTTTTTTCCGTCTTTTCTTTAAATCCAAAAATATGTGTATTTTAAAGATCAAATATTAGGTTGATGCAAAAGTCTTTTTCATTTTTTTCGTACTTCTTTTGAAAAATAACAAAGTCATCAATTAACCTATGGTTTGCTCTAAATGAAAAGTGTTTATTGTTGAATTTCCCATCTTTTTAAGTCAATTCACATTTTGGGTTCACTTTCAAGCAAATTCGAGAGTGAAAACGGGTTTTTCATAAAAATCTATAAAAACCTCTATAAAGAAATTGGCTGAATCCATTTCTCTGAAAATCTGAAAAAATATCTAACTTTTTGTGCTCTATCTTTTATTTATTAACATCAAGATTGGTTTCCTTAGCTAAAGCGTCTAAAATGCATCATCGAGCCGTCGCCTTTTTTGACTACCCGACTTCAGGCTCTCAAAAAAATCTAGACATAAGACATTTTAAACTCGTTTTAATGTCATTTTGCAGAAAAATAATTGGCCTTTCGAATGCAATAAACCGTTGTTCAATTGGTGCATTTGTTACTTTTTAACGGAAGTACGAAAAAAATGAAAAAGACTTTTGCATCAACCTAATAATTGTTATTAATATAAATATTTGAAGGGGAAAATTCAAAAATAAACTCAGCATTTCTTTTTTTCGATAAATTTAATTTTGAATGAAAGCCGTCAAAGGCAACTATTAAAAATAGAAAATAACACGCCATTCGCCCTAATTTGAAACATCAAAATTTTAAAATCAAATTTTTAGCCTTGCTTCCCAACATTTTCCTGCACTGGTCCGAGGCGTCAAATGCGTAAAGCCTCGTCGGCGGAGATGGTGAAAATGCGCTCGAAAACGTTGCCCGAGAACAAGCGCAAAAGCGTTCAGTGGACCGATTTGCGCAAGAGTAAAACAGTGTCCAATTTCTAGAAACTTCACAAATTGATATTGCATTTCTTTTTGATCCGAATTTCCATTTCCTTTCAATCTTGAATCAAAAACGAAAACGAGTTGGGAAAAAGCTTGTCTCATCAAGATTTAATCACATTTACAAGCTTAAATGGTTGATCCCATGGATTGTTTTTGGGTTTTGTTAACACGTTGACGACAATGACGTTTTTGCACAAACAATCGCATGGGACAACGTTGTTTTTTTCCGACAAAACAAGTGTCACCTAAAATTGTCACCTAAAAAGTTAAAATTTTAATAATCAACGGTTAAATCGACATTTTCCGGGACCAAGTCGAATATATAGAATAATATAGATACTGCCCTACTTGCCTATTTAATATCCATCATCAGCAAACATAAATATGCACAAAAAATCAATTTCAATCAATTTTGGTACTGTCACCTGACATCAGGTGACAATGTCCCAGGCGAACGAATATGTGTCAGTCCCAGGCGAACATATTCATGTGACAGTCCCAGGCAAACGAATATGTGTCAGACAGCATCAGGTGACAATGCCGTCAACGTGTTAAGAATTTCTAGAAAACCCTTATTGCTCTTCATTTACCCTACAACTCTTTTCTAAATTTGAAACTAGCTTTTTTTAAATTTCATAAAAATTCTCTTCAAACTCTCTCTAAACCAAAAAACGATCTCCATTTCGGTGTCAGGGTGGAATTTTTTTTGCAAATCTTTCCAATTTTGTAATTTTTCTTTTTTTGCTGTAAAAATTTGTCGTCTTTTGTCGTCTTTTGCATAAAATGATCCCATTTTCCCCTTTTTTATCACAAAATTTATCCATTACTTGCAAATAAATGCTTATAAAAATGAAAAAAATGAGAAATTTTACATAGAATTGCACTCAAAACAATAGAAATCAAAAATTGACAATTTGGAAATTCAAAAATTCAAAAATTTAAAGGTTCAAAGATTTTCCGAATTCTTATGTTTCAAACTTTTGCTGAATGAAACATAGCTTTTAAAAACAATGGAAAGCCCAATTGCTCAAGAATTTCTGAATGATATTTTTAAAGGCTACTTTTACAATTTATTTTAATTTATTTACAACTTATTTATTACTTAAATAAAGCTAGGGCTTTCATTAAAAAAAGATCTAATTCAGTGAGTAATTTCAGTTTTGAGCAATAGCTCCTCCCCAAAGCAATAGCTCCTCCCCAAAGCAATAGCTCCTCCCCAAAGCAATAGCTCCTCCCCAAAGCAATAGCTCCTCCCCAAAGCAATAGCTGCTCTCGCGTGGCCATTCCAAAATTCATATTTTTCAAGATTTCAAGATCAAATTTTTAAGATCTTAAGATCTTAAAATCCAAGATTTTAAGAGCTATAACATTCAAAGATTGATAATTCTTTGATATTGATAAAGATAAAGATTGATAAAGATACCCATCTCTAGCTCCGGGTAATTTGTTTACAAAATTCTAATTTTTCTTTCAAATTCATCCATGAACCTCAAAACTAGACCATCAAATCGGTACTAGGTCCAGCACCAGTGCCAATGTCCTAGATCAATCGGCTTTTTTCTTTAGTACTGATCAGACTTGCTCTAGGTGATCCAGACCCAGTTTCGATACAGTTTTTAAATCTAGTACCAGCTTTTCAATCCCAGCACCTTTTCGATCGTTCATTGTAAAGTTTATTTGGCCTCTTAGCATGAGTCTCATTCGATCTCAGTCTAAAGACCGAATAAGAAGCCAGAAAAATGGTAAACTTTGGTGAAAAACAGCTTTCCTATGTTTGAAGAAAATCTTTGAGCCTTTAAATTGCTCAAATTTTTAGATTGCCTAAATATTATCTGAAGTAAATGATAAAATAAACAAAATGAGACCGTTAGATGAGAATTGAATGAAAAAAAAATATTAAAATTGTTAAAAATTAAAGGCACTATTTAGAATTTTCAATTGAATAAATTGAAATTTGAGAAAAAAGTGAAAAAATGTTTTGGGTTTTGAAAATTTGCTGTTTTATGATACGGAGCTTATAAGAATCAATGAAAAAAATGGAAAATGAAAGCGAAAAATCGAGGAGGAAAGTTGAATTGAGCAAGAAAATGGGAAAATGACGAAAATAAACAAAATTTGTTGAAGATTTAGAAAAGTCAATTAGGAGAAGAGCTTTGAATTCAAAAAAAAAACAAGAATAAAGACAAGATTTGAATGAGGAAAATGAACGGCGATTTTAATAAAAGGGATTTTAATAAAAGAGAATCAAAAAGAGAATATCAAAAGAGAATATCGAAAGAGAAATAAAGAATGATTGCTTTTTCAGCTTCTCAATTTAAATGCCTCAACTTGAAACATGGAAAAGGCTTTTGATAAATTTAAAAATCTAATAAGCTTTTTGTAATCTATTGGCTACTACAATCTCCTTCAAATGAAAAGTATTCAGCTTACAAGACTGAATATCTTTATCTTTAATGGCGAAATTTTAAAAACAAAACTATCTAACGGATTTTGCATGAAAAATTCTGTGAAATGGCTAAAATGTGATCGATTTTTTGTGTTCTATAAGCAAATTACGGTAATTTATGGTGCTTTTTTTGAATCTATGAGTTTAGGGTGCTTTAGAAAGTCTTAGCATCTTGCAATAATTCCCTTTAATTAAGCCTAAAGCTAATTCTTGACTGTGAAAAGTTTAGTTTCAAGTTGAGTCACGTTATCTATAGAAAATATTAATGAGCGAATCGACTTAAAGACAATAGAAACGCTCGATCGATCTTGTGCACTGCTCGCAGACGACTTTACAACAGTAGACGAATTTGCAATTGCACTTCTCTTGCACCACCGTCACACGACGCTCGAAGCCGCGCATACAGCACAGCTGAAAGAGGAATCATCGAGATTTGTCGGCTCAAAGTATATCATGGTGTACTTTGTGCTCAAATCTTGTAAACACCTTCTTTCTAGCGCACTCGACTCGTCCATTTTCTCCTCAAAACAACTGGTGTCACGAGGGAAAATGAAAGTGCGCCAGAAAGGAGGCGTTTACGGGATTTTATTTTGATTTGACCAAGCGACTATTGATCTGGTAGGCTGTAAGACTAAAGCATCTACATTGAAACAAGATTTTTTTCAAAAGCTATTTGGGAAAGTGACAGGGGTATTTAAAATCAAAAGAATTGCAAATCGGAAAAGCCATGTTTCAATATTGTTACTTTAGTAGTCAAGTTTGTAATGCTAGCTCGATCAACAATTAGCAACTCGTAATCCTTGTCTAGTAATTTATTTTGTAAATTCCTTATCACTTTTTATTCAATCTATCCACTTTTTTTCTGCTTTTGTGAGGGTTCACAAAGAACATCGAAAGATAAAAAGTGGTTAGATAAAATTAGATACAAGATTACGGTGGAAAGGGAGAAAGGGATACGTTTTAGAAAACGGATTACTGGAGTTACAGTAATCTCCTTTTTCTGGCTTTGGGGGACTTATCGGCACCAGCTTTTTTGCGAAAATGTTTAAGGAAACATTTTAGAAAACGGATTAGTTGCTGAGAAGATTTTGGTGGGTTAGGGTAGATCTTGAGTATTGAAACTTGTCTTTAACTTGAAAAGAAAAGAGTTTTTGAGAAGAACAAGGCTTTTATTCGATTTTCATTTCGAAATCCACTTTCAAGTTTCAACTTAGCCGCAATCCATTAAAGTAAAATTAGGTAATTAGGCAAATTAGTTTTTTTTGGGAACAACTTCTACATCCTTTATGATAAAAATCCCTTACCAAATCGCATCCATCGGTGCCAATACTCGTCGCATTGCACTCTCGTCCCTTTGTACCGAGGATTCCGCGCACCGGATCCGCCTCACAGTAGTCGGGTGATGGCGAGGAGAAGACCTAGACAAAGTAGTTTCTTCAAAGTAGCATTTAAACCACTCGAGTAATTAAACCCGGAGCTTTTAACTGGAATTTTTCTTCTCGGAATGATCTAATCTGATCTGGCTCCAAGTTAAATAAATTGAAAGATTGAAATCAAAATTGGTTTAGAAGTCAAGATCCGTTTTATCGTCCTGTTCATTTTATTGCATTCACGAAATTTTCCCGTGCTTGTTCATTGAATTTTTGTGTTTTTGGGGGAAAATTCGTAACCCTTCTTTCTTTTCTTATCACTGTTGACTTTTATAGGGCCTAGGGATGAGTTTTCGTGCATTTTTCCAAAATAACAGCGTTTTTGCTGAAAAGGGGAATAGCCAGAGTGTTGTTTAGTTGGGGATCGGGAAAAATGGAAAGCCTCAGGTCGCGTTTTTCCCCCAATTTGGCTGCTTTTTAAGTAATAGGATGTAGAATTTTTAGCAAAAATACAGCCAGACAAAAATTGAAAGGTAAAAAAAGGCAAAAATTGTTGCCAGAAAGCGGCAAAAAACTCGGCGCTCCATCGCCGTAGCGAAAGAGTAGACGCAAAAGTTAGGGATCGGGAAAAATGAAACTCAAAGTAGACTCAAAAAGCTACAAAAATCTTCAAATCTTCGCCACTAAAAAACCCTTTTTTTTCACCCAAAATCTTGAGTACATTTGCGACAAATCACAAGTTTTTCTTGAGTCTTAAAATTTCTCGTGAAAAGTCCAAAGTTCCAAATGAGAACCTTAATAAAATCTTGAGCTCTTTTGCGTCATTTTATTGGCCATTTAGAGTAAAAAATTTCTTTCCCAAAAACGAAAGAAAAAAAGTGATTTTCCCATTTTAAAAAAAGCGGTCAACTCACGTCAACTCACGCAGTTTTCCCCAAATTACCCATAAATTTCGCATATTTTTTGTCAGTTTTCAGAACAATTTTGAGTGCAAAAGCAAAGAATATTTCGGTGTTTTCGGGATTTTTTTAAGAAAAAAGAGATTGAGGGACAGTTTTTTCGAATTATTCGAAAAATTCGAAAAACTATTGGAAAATTTTGAAACTTGACACTTTCATTTCGATGATTGAATCGAAATTTTTGTTTAAAGTTTGCAAGAGTAATTGTCATTAAAAGTTGGGAGCTGAGGGTGGCTAAATACTTTGAAATAGTAGCTTTTGGGGAGTTCGATCTAAGAATTCGAACAACGTTAATTGGAACCATTAATTCCTCATTCATTTCTACATTGAAACAAAAGTTGAGCCTTAAAATTAATCATTAAACAAAGAAAACTTTAATTCCCAAGAAAAAGGATCGAGAAATCGTTTAATGGTTTTAATTTTTATGCAAAACCTACACTTGTAATATACTGAACAACTCTAGAGCCCAGGAAGTGGAATATTTTGAAACTGGCTATGGCTAAACAATGGCTCAAAGACAGGCCCTACCAATATGAGTACTAGTAATCATCGTAACTCTGGCTTATAACCTAGAAAGATTATTGTAATCTCTTGAAAATGCAAACTTGATTGGCCATTTAGGTTTAATCTTCAATTTCTGACTTCTACTGGTTACTGGGGCCGCAGTGATTGTGGCTCAGGCTCAGGAAAACCTTACAGAATTGCTCCACAACAATTTTGTAAGGTTACACTAGTTAGAGATAGATTACAGTAACCTTTTTAAGTTATAGGTAGTCAATACTCGTTTATTACATCGAGAATTTCGTCTTTCACTTTAAATAAGTTGAAACATCGACTTTAAGACACTAAAACCAAAAAGGTTCATCCCAAAACAGCGCACTTTTTAGCCTTACGCTTACACCTGATTCCTAGGAATCACAGTAACTCTGGCTCATAACTAATCGCTAACCTTCACTAGTTATGCATTTTCTGCCCCACTTTCTGCTTGAAACCATGACCAAGAGAGCTCAAGAGAGCTTACTATATATTAACTCTAAACTCTGCGAATTGTCAAGCCGAAATAGAAACTGTTCTAGTTTAAAAAGAAAACATCAAGCAAGAATTGCTTTGTCTGCCTGATGATCACTCTGAAAACGTTGAAACAATAAGCAAGAATCATTAGCAAGCTAATGTTTCAACTTAATCAACTTCAAATTGATACTTGAGAAGGACGTTAACAAACAACATTGAACTCACCAAATCGGCGTGCGTGTGTCGCCGGAATTGATTGTGCTTGCTTTTCAAATGCGGCCGATCCTCACCCAACACCACCTGAATTTAGGCTTGTGGTAATTTTTTGAGAAAAGTTATGTTTCAAGAATAAGGCAGGCTATTGTTTTTCTCGGAATTCTAATGGTTGAGGAGTTGTGACTGAAAATTTGACTATCAAGAGGCTTTGACACATTCAAGTTTCTCAGAATCTCACAAACCTGCACCTCCGTTGCTCCATCGAATTTGTCCTTGATGATCGAGCCGATCTCTCTGGAAGGAAAAATGTTGAGTGTTGATTGTTGATTGTTGATTAAAAATGTTGATTAAAATCTACAGGTTCTAAGAAGAATTTTGTTTAGAAAAGAGCTAAGAATGGAAGCATGCCTCTGGTCATTGGGCAAAATAGTTTTCTTCAAAATTTCAATTTTCAAAAAAGAACAAGCACGGTAAAATTTCGTGAACAGGAAACGGATTTCGGTTTCTAAACCAATTTTGATTTCAATGTTTCAATTTATTTAACTTGGAGCCAGATTAGATTAGAGCAATAATTCCGAGGAGAGAAAAATTCCATTTAAAGAGCTCCGGGTTTAATTTAATTTATTTTGAAGAAACTACTTTGTCTGGGTCTTCTCCTCGCCATCACCCGACTACTGTGAGGCGGATCCGGTGCGCGGAATCCTCGGTACAAAGGGACGAGAGTGCAATGCGACGAGTATTTGCAACGATGGATGCGATTTGGTAAGGGATTTGTATCATAAAGGATGTAGAAGTTGTTCCCAAAAAAAATAATTTACCTAATTACCTAATTTTACTTTAGGTAATTAGGTAAATTAGTTAACTTTATTTTGAAGAAACTACTTTGTCCAATGACCAATGACCAGAGCTCATTTGAGGTTCTGAAAAATGTGTTGCAAAACTCCAATCAAAGATCTTTTGGTACAGAAATGTAGGCGTGAATTCAGGCTTCAATTTTCTATATAACACTTAGGGGTTTTTTATGAATTGATTGCGGCGTTTAGCTGATTACGGTTATGATTATGATTACGGAGGTGTATCCGTAATTCTGGTGCACTGTATAGCTGAAAAATTTACAGTTTCAATTTTCTTTGTATGCAAGCACAATCAAGGCTTTTAATTTTGATGAGCTATAACGGGTTTAAACTGCAATTCTTAAACTTTAAACTCACACAAGTTCTACAAATTCTTTTAGTTCTAAAAATTTCGTGGAAATCCTGTTTTTTTTTTTCAAAATTTTCCTGATAAGACTACAAATTGGCTACTGAATTACGTCAGAATTTTTTGGGAAAAAAACTATGGGAAAATTTTTGCAAAGAACAAGAAAAAAAAGCTGAGTGATGGAGGAATTTTCTCAAAATTTTCTTAATTCAGAAATTGGAGATAAGCTTTTTTAAGGGATTTGCAAAAAATCATAACATTTTTAAAGTGTTTTTGGACAAAACCCCATGACATTAGGTTATTTTTTTCGAATTTGACACTTTAAAACTTGAAACATTGAAATTTAAAAAATCTTTTAAAAACTTTTAGAAATACCATAGTGTTTGTTTTATTATTGGACTTGATTTTTAGCATTTTGAATCATTTTAATTCAAAATTCAAAATTCAAAACCTGAACGATGGGAGCGCATCCCAGCAGGTTTTCATCTCGCATGAGCCGCTGATCCCATGACATTTGCATTCTCGGCGCAGCGACGTCTTCAGAGCCTAGAAAAAAGAAAAATATAAATAATGGTGCAAATTTTGAAACATGGATTACGGTAGTCGGAGAAAGAGGCACGTTTTAGGAAATGGATTATAGGAGAGGAATAGTCTCTAGTCTGGCACGGTTTGCCGTTTGCATTTAAAGCAAATTAACCCCTGAACTATTTGAAACCGATTTCTTTAAACTTTAGAGTTTTTTGACAAACCGTGCCAGACTAGAGACTATTCCTCTCCTATAATCCATTTCCTAAAACGTGCCCCTTTCTCCGACTACCATAATCTACCGTATTTTCTATTTGCCTACCTGTCGCCCGGCTCGATTGTTGTGCAGATTGATGATCGTTTGCTCGGCTTGTGCACTCGTCGAGTTTTTCTGAAAGAATTTTTTTGATTTATTATAAACTTTCAAATTTCCATTCACTGTGAAAAGTTGAAACCTGGTTTTTTCAAAAAACAATTTTCTTGAAGAAGTTTGAACATTGGGCTCACCTGTTTCCCGTGCGCTTTCTCAGCGGCATCGACGAAATCCCTCGAGATCATGTTCCCGTATTCGACATTGTCCGAGCAACCTTCGCTCACGAATTCGCTCTTGCTCTCCTGAAAATTGAAAATCAATTTATATTCTGAACAAATGTAAAGTCATTTTATTTTCAACTCCAACCCTTGGCACAATGCTGTGCAAACTCGTTTCCCTGGTTGTCTCCGGGATCTCGTGTCTCGTCTGATCACATCCACAAGCATCGTTTAACCCCTTAGCACAGTCGCGAGTCACTCTGAAATGAATTTTTAATAGTTGAAAAGTTGTTGTTTCAAAATAAGGGAAATCAGGAACCATCCTCCATAATTTAATAAGCAGTTTCCCCCCTTTTAAAAGCCCAGAAAACAAAACCAAAAGTCCAAAACTAGCCTTATCGAATTCAATCTCAATTCTGAAACTAAAAAGTTCAAAGTAAAAAGTTGATGTTTCAAAGTAAATTAGTAAAGGATGAGATTCATTTCTAGTAAGCACGTCGCTAATCCTTTTAGGAAAAACAAATTTAGATACTAAAATTTGAAATTAAAGTATCACCAAACGATTTAAAGACGAATAAGATGAAACTTGGTTTTTTTAAACATAAACCATCCATCTATTTGATCAAATCCAAAACTCAAAATCACTTTTCACCACTGAAATTCAAATTTTTTTTTGTCATTGTTGCTTGTGTCCAAACTAGACAAGGAAAACTTGGTGGTAGAACACTGATTGCTTACCATGACCCCATTTTCGAATCAATTTCTCATTTTAAATAAAACTCGCATTGTATTTGAGTGGTATTTTATGTAAATCTTACCTAGATTTTATTTAAATCTAGGTAAGATTAAATCAAAAAATAAATCATACCCAGAATCATACCCAGAATCAGTAAATCATACCCAGAATCTTACCTATCTTACCTGTAAATTTTATGTAAATTAGAATACCTGTAAGCCACACCAGCGGCAGAGATGGCGTGCACGAAAGCGCTTTCCCTTGTGCCCTCCAACAACAGGACATCGCCGATCACCTTGTGCGTTAACGGGTCCAACAAAGTGCAATTCCATCTGAAATTTTGCCTAGCTTATGGCTAAATATCAATAGATTCTGAGCAGAAATGTTTCGATTTTCGATCGGGCTCTAGAAGCTGTAAAATCAGACGAAAAGAGAGCTTTGACTTTTGGGCAAAAATCGTCTGAAAAACATCGATTTTAAAGCAGTCATTTTATTCATTTAATCATAAAAATTGCCTAAGTAAATGGTAATTTGAAAAAATTAAGTAAAAAATGGTCGAATTTTAGCCGAAAATTTCTTACCTTCTCTTATGGAATTGATATTGGCACTCGGTGTAGGAACTCTGCGCTCCGCGTCGAATCGAGTCCATTAGAATCACGTTTTTTCGACAGAAACGCTGCTGACGTCGGTTGAGAGTCTGGAAATTGAAAGAAAATGAAATTCCAAAGAAATCCAAAAGATTTCTTCCAAAAAATTTACATTCACTTAACATTTTCGACTTTTCTTTCCCCTTTAAGCAGTCATTACTAGACTTGTGTTTCGGTTGGCTTTTTTCGGTTTGGTTTCGGTTCGGTTTCGGCTTCGTTTCGGTTTCGGTTCGGTTTCGGTTCGGTTTCGGTTTCGGTTGAACCGAAGTCAACCGAAATCTTTCGGCTCGGTTCGGTTCAAGATTAGTTTTTCGGTTTGTTTCGGTTTCGGTTCAACCGAAAAGATGATTTTTTCGGTTCGGTTTCGTTAACCGAAACTGAAACCGAAACCGAACCGAAAAAGAACGTTTCCGGTTCAATCGAAACACAAGTCTAGTCACTACTTTACCTTTTTAAGTCAAAAACGTTCGAAATAAAGAGAGTCATTCACTTAATTCAAGTGGAAACATTGACTATTAAACTTGACTTAACTTGAACTTTAAAACTGTGCAACGAGGGATTTTCAAGTTGCAAATTGAGCAACTCAAAAGCTACAATGATCAATCGAATTCTTTCAACTATCATTAGGTAGTCGCTTTTCTGAACTCTGCATATCCAAGTTTGAACCAGCATTTAAGATTTGTAGCCGAAAAAAAGGTGAAACTTGATGTTTTTCCAACGATCTAGTCAACAAAAATAAACCTTTAACTCCTTGCAAAACGTGCCGGCACTTCGTTTCCCCAAATTCGCCGAGGAGAGGCCGACCGAGCTGGAAAATGAAAATTATAAAAAGCTATTTTGCTAATCTCAACTTTTCCGTGTCACTTAGTTTCTTAGTTTTGAGAGTACGCTTAATTTTAGCTTAGCTTTAGAGTACGGTACTTTTGAAAGTACCGTGCTCTAAAGCCATTGAAACTATTGAAGCCATTGAAGCTACTGAAGCTATTGAAACTAATCGAAAAGAAAGCTACCTTAGTTCAGCGTAGTTCTGCTTGATAAATCCTAGGTTACGTTAAATCTTTATTTAAAGCTTATTGAGCGGAAAGATAACTATTCACTGTAAAGCTAAAAAGAAAATCCGAGGAAAACTTTGCATTTCAAAGTGAGCGGCTTCAAAAGCGCATTTGCTGTTTCAATGCGCAATCCACGGACAGGTTTATTATCTCAGAATCTATTATCTAAAGAAGTGAAAGAATTAGCAAGAGAAAGTAGATTTCCGGAGAGGGGATTGAGCTCTCGATCTTTTGCTTTCCGTGGAATTGCTCTAACCACTGAGCCATATTTAACCTTAACTTGCCAAGTTAAAGCTCAAATTCCCAGGCCAAGCCAAGTTAAAGCCACGATTTTAATTCAAATTTAGCCAAATCTAATAGAAAGATTGTAACTCCAGGCCAAGGCCAATTTAAGACCATTGACTTGGCTTGGCTAGCTTTTGTTTGAGCTTTTTGGCTAGCTTTTTGGCCAACTCTGCAACTCTGATCTGTTTCTGATCCCGTGAGCTTCTTAAATTCATTGTTTTCGTAGTTTGCTCAGCTAAAGTTAGCTAAACTTACAATTTATCTTTTTCTTTTCCTTTTCGTTTTGTTGTTCTCTATAATTTTTGAAATTTAGCTAGAAATTTAGCTTCTACAATAGGCTACAATAACGCTTAGAAAACGCTTTCGCTTAAAAGACAATAACGCTTAGAAGACGCTTAGAAAACGCTTTTAGAAAACGCTTTCGTTATATCTGAAAATTTGAAAACTCACAGCCATCCAACCGCCTCGATGACGTCGACGAGTAAAAAAAGTAAAAGAAAGAGAATTTTCAGTCGTCTCATCGTTGCGTCGATTGTTCAGCAATCAATTGAATGCGCATATTTTGATTTGAGACAATTAAAAGAAATTCTTGCTTTTTTTTTGTTGATCAATCGGGTTTGAGCTAAAGATTGGAAATGATAAAGAATCAAAAGAAAATAGGGAAATTTATGAAAACAGTGAAAACAGTGAAAACAGTGAACACATGTAAGCTGAAAGAAGAGGTGAATTTCGGAAGTGAATTTTAGTTTAAAAATCTAGTTTGAAAGAAGATACGAAGTGAATTTTAGTGGGAACTCTTGAAGGGATCGGGAAGGTTCTTTTGTTGTTTCAGAAACGGGAAGGTTCATTCAAAAACCTAATTAGTTCAGCACGATTGTGGGACTTTCAATTTTTACGAGAGCTTCTCGTGAAACGATTTACCGTATTCTCTCTAATAGTATTGCGGTCCGAGAGGGGTTGAAAAAATAGTAATGCGCGCTATTATTAGAGAGAATACGGTATTTATTCTTGATGGGTTAAGACTCAGGAAAAATCGATGTTTTCATACGATTAGAATTTAAAAGCACTTCTTTCCTAGTTGAAAATGTTGAAACCGAAGAATTTTTAGGTCAAAAGGCACACGGTTAATGTAAATGTAAACTGTTTAGTTAGTTAGTTAGTTAGTTGATTAGTTAGTTGATTAGTTAGTTAGTTTTTTAGTTTAGTTAGTTTAGTTACTGATTTCTAATAAATAAACTCCTTAAGTGGCTCATTAAAATCGAAGCACTTCGTTTTTATCCGAAAAAATTGAAACCAAAGAATTTTATACAGGTTATAAAACGGTTTTCTGCTACTGTAAACTCGTTATACGTTATTTTAATAGAAATTCATTTAATTTATTAAAACATAAATATTTAATGACTAAAATTCGGAACCTTTTCCTTTCCAAAAGTATTGAAATCTTAAAATTTCTGATTTGTCTAAATGGAGGTGGTTTTTAGACTAAAATTTGAGTTTCTATAACTTTTCAAAAAAATTTCTTCATATGTACCTTTAGATTTCCATCTTTTTAAAATCAAAATCAAAGCTAGTTCAGCTTTCAATACAATCAGCATTTCGAAAACCAGTCTAAACCAATTCATCGAGTTAGAAGTTAAGAATTTTCAAGTTTCATCTTTAGTTTTCTCAAAATCACAAAGCCAAAAAGTCGAATCTTTTCTATTTTCATTGAAAAATGAAAATAGAAAAGATTCGTCAAGATTTAAAGATTCAGAAACCTTAAATTTTCTCAATCTTTAAAAACATTGTACGTAATTTTTTTAAAAAGCTAAGTAGTTTGGGTTATTTTTGACGTTTCTTCTGTTTAATCTCATGTTATTTGAACTTTTTTAGCTTTACAGACATTCCTTGCACCTTCCTACAGATCAAATTTCAAAATCGAATTGCTAAACAAATAAAGATTTGGGGAATTCGCGGAAAAACACGGCTACTTAGTGTCTTTATTTGTTGGATCTTAGGCCAAGTAAACATCGGGATCAAATTAGCAAGAGGAAGAGTTTAAGGTTCAAGAGAGAAATGAACTGAAAAAGAGAGAAATGACTTTGAAATGAAGAAGTTGAGCGAATTGAAAAGACTGACTTGGAGCTGAAATTTGGAAATTTTTAGATTACGGTAATAGATCTAGAATTAATACCGTATTTTCTCTAATAGTAGTACAGCCCGACGAGCCGAGTTGGTGACTATTTTACGGTTTCCAAGCTTTTGCAGAATCTCAACACTCAAATCCCTCATAAGATCTCATCGTCAGCTACATTTTCCGACTCCACATCGATAGGTTCTTGGTTTTTTTTAATTTATTCATTCAAAAAAACAATGGTTTTTTGAATGAATAAATAAAAGGTATAAAAAAGAGTTAAATATTCTTTAAGACAATAATTTTGAGAATTGAACCCAAAAATCCCCCGTTTAAGGCGCTCAGTTTGAAACTTGGATTCGGAAAGTCTAAAAAAAGCACAAAACACAAAATTTGACTGATCAAGCTCTAGATAGACTTTGGTTTTAAAAACTGATCAAGTTTGGCAAATTTTGAACAGTAAAGAAAGACGAAGGTACATGAAAAGCATTGATATCCGTGAGATTCCCCGAACTCTGTCCATATTGAAACACGAGTTCTCATACTTTTTTTAAACTCAAAAAGGTCAAATAACTCAAAAAAATCTCAAGAATCACTGACCAAACATTGGGTAAAGCAAAGAAAACAAATTTGAGAAAATTTAAATAGAATTTGATCAAAAATTAAAGTTTTAAAATGATTTTCAAAAATGCGAGTTTCAAAGAAAGCAGCTATGGGAAGCGGATTTTTGTTTTTATGTAGAGACGCCGGTTGTTGTTTCAAAAATAAATAGCTCAATGTAGTAAAGATTCGAAGTAATATATCAAGCCTTGACGTTATCTGTGCTTTAAATCTATAGATGATCTTGACCTTGAAGCTCTAGTGGATTCTTGACGTTCTCTGTGCTACCCATATATTCCATATATTATATCGTGTTGCTATTTATCGGCCCTTTTCTTGTTATGTTTATGCATTCATATTAAATCGTAAATCTAGCGCACTCTATCTCTATATAAGTATCTATATAATAAAAATGAGAAAATTGGTTGTGGCTTGAGAAATGTTAGCATATCAAAACTTGTAAGAATGGACAGAAGGACAAGTTGCTGAGAAAACTTTGGTTTCTTTTCTTTAGCAAACGGTGTGACTGTGTGTGTCCGTCTGTTGCGACTCTGTGTGTCCGTCCGTGCCGTTTCTCGCAAACGGTAGCTCGAATCAAGCTGAAAGTTTGACATCAAACAGTCAACTTTTTATTATCTTTAATATGGCTAATTTGTTTTTTTGATCTGTTCAACCGTTTTTCTTAAAAATTCAAATTCTAACGTTTTTGCAATGCTTTCTCTTGAAGACCCTGTATCTTAGTCCAGAGATGAAAGAAAAGAAAGATTTTTGACTCAAAAGATAGCCCAAAGTCTCTAGATTTAAAATATATTAGTTTTTAAAGATAATTACGTTTTTGAATTTTAAAAATTGAAAAACTAAGCGCGACTCGAAGAAAAAATGAAGAAATGGAAGAATTCCGTGCGCTAGAAAGGGGTTGTTTACGAGATTTAAGCATAAAATACATCAAAAGTGATGGTTAAGCCGATAAAGCTGTTTTCAGCTCAATCACCGTTATCGATTACCCTCGGTGAGTCAAAAATGAATCGAATCGAACCCAAGTCGAATTCCCATTCGGATTCGGGTGAAATATGGGTGAATCCCGGTTTCTCCGCGTCTCCTCATTGGCTCAAACTTTTCGAATCTTTTTCTCTTTTTCTCTTTTTCCCCTCCAATAGCTTGGTTGGGTTGGGCGAGGTGAATGGGGGTGATTTAGGGTTCCACACACATGTGTTTCCTTTCACCTAGATCCACCCAAAAACCCCCACCAACATCGATATGTTTCCTTGTAAGTTTAGAGAAAACAAGAGTCAATGATCAATGATATTGCTCATTGTGAAACATTGGAAATTTCTAAAAAATCCATTTCAGCAAAACTACCGTAATCCGAAATCGTAAAGACGCAAAGTGTTTAATCTGTTAAACTTAGAAACATGAGTTTTCTTGTTCTCGAAAAAGTTCAAATGGCCTGGAGACGGCCTGGAGTGGCCTCGGAGAGGTAATTCAAAAAGAAAAAGACTAGAAAAGATTTTCAAGAATTGAGTCTATGAAAATGAAATCCAAAATTTCCAACGATGCAGAGATTTGCAAAAGGATTGTAAAAATTCCATTACCTAAATTTGATTTCTAAGCTCCAGCTCGTTGTTTTTCAAATCAAATTAAAACTTCAAATTTCCAAGAAAAGGGAATTGTTTAGTCTAGCACAATCTAGCACAAATTATTGCCAGAAAAATGATGTTAGTTTCAAAATTAGGTAATATAATCAAGGATTAGCGATTGCAATGAGTATTGCTTCCAAATTTCTTCAAAACATCAGCAATTTAACGAAAAAGCTGAGAAAATAGTTGAAAATCGATGAAAATCGATGAAAATCGATGAAAATCGATCACCAAGACAATCAAACAGAAAAATGATTCACTTTTCTGATCAAATGCATAAAAGAAATCTCTCTCTCGAAAAGAAATCATCTCAAAATAATCATTTTCGAAGCGGGGGAAGCGATCAATCAAAACTTTTTCGCCCCCACCGACAGAAATGGTGTGAAAATGAGCGCCAAAGTGATCAAAAATTGAGAAAATTCAAAGGAATTGCTGGGGAAAGTTTGGGTTTCAAAATTGATTGAGTGAAATTGAGATTTTTTAATTCAATTTTTAATTTATTAAAAGAGTCCTGGCTTTCAATAATTCCTTTTCGTCGCCAAATTTTTATTCTCTTTTTTTATGTTATTCAAATTTTAGTATTAGTTAAAGTATTCTTTCAAAAGTATTAGTTAAAGTACTCTATAGTTTTTGAAATCTTTTAGATTTACTAGCCAAGAGTCGACAAATCTAAAAAATCTGTTTTTCAAAAATTCATTGAGAAAATTGTCGCTTTTCAGTCATTCACTTTATTAAGATATATAAAAATGAAAGTATTCAGCTTTCTGATTGAATATCTTTATATTCTTCGATTGAATTTAATGATATTCAGGTTTCATTAAGAATATTTTAATCCCGGGGTACTGTAGTGAGACAAAATGGTTCACTAATTTAAAAAAATTTCAATGTTTCAAAGTATTCCCTTATTGGTAAAGAATTTTAGCATTAATGCATACAAGGTTTTCTTTTTTAGGCTAACTTTTGCAATATCTAAGCTTGATTTTTAAAGCGCTGAAGCTTTAAAATAAAAGTTTCCAAAGAATTGCTTAGCAAATTTCAAACAATGAAGCTCAATTCTATCAATATCCCTTCAAATGCACGAATAATTCAAATGCGCGAATTCAATTCAAATTCAAATGCACGAATTTTCCAAGGAAAAGAAAATCATCGCCGAGTCACTGCTTTTTCTTTT